TGCCCTGAGAATTTTGAAAAGTCTGGAACCTTGAACCGGTTAGGTAGAGGGACTCTCTCAAACCATTCAGGGTAAGGTTGCCGATACAAATTTCCAGCGTCTTTCGGCTTGAGCCCAAACTGCTCCTTTATCACATCCGCAATCATATCGGCCCATGGTCGTTGCTGAGGTACTCCTTGAGGTTGATGTGGCATGAGCTCGAATTGATTGTATTGAGGAGCAAACTGGGGTTGAGCCGATCCTCCCTGCTAGTATTGAACTTGCGGTGAAGGAGGCTGATACTGATAATTCACATTGCCCCCCTAGTAATTTTGAAAATTTGGCTGAATATTGTGCACCAAATGCTCAGGGACAACTTGAGGTATCACCGTCTGATCTGGCTGTACATGATGAACCAAGTGCTCTTGAACAACTTGATTCGCAGCATGCTGCCTTGGCTGATTGTCAAGTGTTGCAAATCCAGCCGATGCATTCATCAAGCCTTGCTGCTGAATCGGCTGAATAACCTGTTGCCTTAATGGCGTTTGCTAAATCGGCTGAATAACCTGCTGCCTAGGTGGCATCTGCTGAATTGGCTGCACAACCTGTTGGATTGGTGGCGTTTGTTGAATCGGCTGTACAACCTGCTGCCTTGGTGGTGTTTGCTGAATCGGCTGCTGCTGGGTTGGATCAACAGTAGGTGGAGGTGGTAAAAACATAGCCGCAACCTGGTTTTGAGTTAGCCGATTCACATTCTGCCCACTATGTTGTGGTTGCTCTCTCACCAACAATCGAGGATTCACCAATTGACATGGCGCTAATGATGGTGCAGCAGGTGCAGGAGCCGATACTGGTGCCGTCGGCTGAGCTAGTGCTGCATTTGGAGGAATGGATTGAACAACTGGCTGATTATCAGTGATCAATGGCCGATAATTCGGGAATACCCCTCCTGGTAGATAAACTGGTCCTGTAGCTTGATATTCAGCCATTGAACCATCAACCATTGTCTTCACCATGTTTGACAAAGTGTTGACTAATATTCCAGATTGATTGATCAAAGCATGGTGCACGGCATAATCAACCTGATCCTGAAAGTTGTTAAACTGTAACTGTGTTGTATTGCCATTTTGATTAAGACCTTCACCTTGAAATCCCTGAACACCATCACCTTGAGTTCCTTGAGAACCAACACCCTGAACTCCTTGAGAGCCATCATCTTGATCTCCTCGAGAACCATCTGCAGCACCTTTATTACTCGATTGAGCCGCGCCATCTGGAGCTTGTTTCACTTCTCCATCCTTAGAAGAACCTGTCCCAGGAACATTAGCAATTACTTTTACTTTATACTTCTGAACAAGTGTTCCCTTGTGGGTCTCCGTAAATGAGCTCAAGAACTGATTCCGTGCTTGCTGCATCATTGCCTCAAGATCCTTTTGCTGATCAGGTGTCAACTTATCCATAGTGACGGGCACAATGTTGCCTTCATCAACCTCAGATAGACCCAGCTTATGGATCTTAGCTTTAACAGAGCCAGGTTCACCAGCCGAGGATGGCGATGCTGGCGGTTTCTCAGCCATGGGGAAAAGCTGTTGTTGTGATTCTGACTTCTGATCTGTCCCACCAGGCGTGCCAAAAGCATGTTGACGTAAAACACGAGGCCTAGGAGATCTGCTTAACTCCAGTGCAGGTCCAAAACTCGCCTTCGGGTATGCTAGCGTGCCAGTTGATTTGATCCTGCAATCAACAAGAAACAAAGACAAAGAAACCACGGTTAAACCCATAAACGATAGTCGATCGGCTAAGTGCCAATGACATATCATTTATCTTTGAGCCGATGTCATATATGTATCGATCCGCAGTCATGAATAAATAAGAAAGAACTAAATCTACTCGATCGGCTGTAGATATTAACAATATATACTCCTTATATCGATATATAATTAAATCAAGTGATTGGGATATATCGGTCGCCATGCCGAGACAGTATAAATCACTTAGATCGAAATATATATTAATAATGGCACTATATATGTTCATAGCATAGCCGATCAGATAGATCTAGCATGTATCGGCTAATACTCCGATACCACTCTATATTAAGATATTAAAGCAAGTAGAATATATCAAACACAGGCCTAATATACTTAAATGCAACGAGATCTTAACATAAAGGGCAGATTTAACATGTCAACGAAGCATGTAGAGTAAATATAGTTAAATCAGGTAAGATCGGCTGAAACCCCGATACTACCCTAATCGTCAACCAAGAAGCAGGCTAAAGATTGAGATTCTAATCACGACTAGATCAAACCCAACTGATGCAGCTATAAGAATGAAAAGAAGGACAATATCTAGACAATCAAGCCATTGGAAGTTTCATAGAGTGGTGGATATCCTATATAATCTAAGTTAATATCGATATCTAACCTAATCGGCTGCCTTCTACCGACAGATGTTAGCCGATTGTAGGTTAGATAGCGATATTGCCAGAGATTATGTAAGATATATGATAACTCGACGAATTACATAAACAAGATTAGAGTATCATAAAGATGGAAGCACTAATCCCGAGAACGCAAGCCGCCATAACAAGTTTTACCTCTTGTTGAAGATCGAAATCGATGCAGCTCAACCCGAAAGCAAGAACTCGTCGAAACAAAACGAAAGTAAAAGGGTGGCGATGCGCCAAGATTGTATTGAACGTATGTTCATTGATTACATAAGTTTCAGGGTCTATTTATACCCGAGAATTACAAACTATGTCCACATCGGACACGACTCTTATCCCTAACAAACTCTAAGATACCATAAGTCTTTACGGCAGACTTTTGCCTAAATATATCTCTAAGGAAATTACATAGAATATTCTAATTAATATATACAATTGCCTTCTCAGGACTCTATCCATGTGTGGCAATTATCACGAAGCACATTAACTTAACCCGATAATATATACCGAGTCGTCTCGTCGGAATTGGCTGTATCGGCTCACCCAGTCTGACTCGGATTCAGCCGATCTTGGTCGTAGCCGATTTGGACTCCAGCCGATTCTTATTCTGTTTCTGGCACAATCTCTATCTCCATTCCACCTCGATTTCTCCTTTACATCCGATCCTTGGATTACCAAATTTGGTCGTTAACAAGGACCCAGATGACGACGTTGACAAGGCGGCGGCGGCGAGCGACCGAATTCGCTTTTTTTTTGGTTTTTTTTATTCCGTGCGGTCGGTATAACACAACCGCACGGGATAATTCGCCCGCACACGAAAATACCGATTTTCCCAGACGATTAGCTGCAGGCGGGCCGAACAACCGCACGGAAAAATCAAAATGCCCGTTTGGAAAAATCTTATTTGTAGTAGTGACACATTTAATAACAAGTTGATTATAGTCATGCAAATGGGCAACTATATATATAAACTAGTTCCATTGAAATGGCCAAATGGGTCGATACATTAGAATTTTGGAGGAAACAAGCGTGAGGTCCTACTTCATGTTCCTTCTTCGTATGAGTGCAATGTGGCACAACGTTATGTTCATGTGTTTCCCCAATCCTACATTGCATGTTTAAGCTAAAAAAATAGGAAAAAGTTCAAATACCCTCCTAAACTTTATATAGAAGTTCGTCAAGCACCGTGAGCTTTAAAACGGGACATCCAACCCCCTGAACTTTATCATGCCATCCATATTACCCCCGAGATGGTTTTGTATATTTGGAGGCTTAAACAAACAATTTCGAATAACTCGTACAATATATTTGCATATCATCAGTTATAAGTCATCAATTTATTCTTATATAGTGATATCATACTATTATTATATTGGTATTTGTTTGTAAGTGATAGCTAATGACCTAATAAAAAGCAAAATGAAATATTTAAGTCAAAATTTTAATATATATATATATATATATATATATATGTGTGTGTGTGTGTGTGTGTCCAAAGGGTATGACATGTGATCAAACTCATTCAAATCATATACAAATTAGATAAAAACCACTATAAAAAATCATTTTAAGGGGTTATATAAACGGTATTGTAAAGTTTAGGCGGTTGAATATCCGGTTTCAAAGTTTAGGGTGCTAGATGGACTTTCATCCAAAGTTTAGAGCGTTATTTGGACTTTTTCCAAAAAAAACAATACACTAAGGATACCTACGTCAAATATATAATTTGGACCATATGAGTTAAGCACAGAGCCACACCATCTAACCGTCTATGTCAATTCTAACAGCACTCCCTTCAAAACCGCTTCATATTCGCTTCGTGTAAAAGGTTTAACTCGGGAGTTATATGGTTGGAGGGATAAGGTCGGCTCTGACCCACCACTCCAGAACTGCGTAGCCTGCTCATCCGACGGGCAGGCTCACTTACACATACCACCACCACTTACACTTTCATTGTAACAACCCTCCCTCCAGAACTGCTTCATGTAAAAGGGTTAACTCGGGAGTGATATAGTTGGAGGGATAAGGTCATCTCTGATCCTCCGCTCCAGAAACCGCGTAGCCTGCTCATCCGACGGGCGGGCCCACTTAACACTTTCGTTGTAACAGCCCTCCCTCTAGAACCGCTTCATGTAAAAGGGTTAACTTGAGAGTGATATGGTTGGAGGGATAAGATCGGCTCTGACCCTTCACTCCAGAACCGCGTAGTCTGCTCATCTGACAGACGGGTCCACTTACACTTTAGTACATAACCACACCATCTAACCCCATTACCGGCCCTCCTCCAAAACCGTGTAGCCATCCCATCCGACGAGTAGGCCTACTTACACATACCACCCAACTTACACTTTCGTCCTGCTTCGTGTAAAAGGGTTAACCCGGGAGTGATATGATTAGAGGGATAAGCTCTTATAAATTGGTTCTACTCTTGCTAAACTATAAGTTGGTTCTACTCTTGCTAAACTAGCAAGATAGTACTAAACATACGCATACAGCTCTTATGGGCCACAACTAAATTCTAATTGGACCAGGATATCACATCAACCATGTAGTACAAGTTTGCATGCTCACGTTCACTTGACTGTCACTATTTTCTATAGCTCATTGTCACAATACAATTTATCCATTTTTTCACTACTACTTTCAAGAGTTCTTGACAGAGGAGAGAAAATGAGAAAACTACATCACTATGTAAGCAATGTAGTAGTGCTAGACGGTTGAAGAAATCAGCCAATGCACACATATACTACACAAGAGCGAAGCTATCAGATCCTTAATTCAAACTATGCTACAAAATCTTATTTGTATTCTTGGTAAATATGACAATGAATTGCGCCAGATCGATGAACATACAAATTATGTACCTAAATGTAGGACACATCATGTAAGAAGCTGAGATCAACAGTCGCTCAACAGCCGTATAAACTCACTAGACAACTGATGCTGCAACCCTCTTCAGGGATGCAGATACTTTGAAGATGTCAGATTCAGTGTGACCAGCTGACACGAATAAGCGGATTCCAACCGGGAGCCGACACTTGTCCAAACTCGACCTCTTTGTTGCTGCAATGAAGACTGAATCTTCCATCAAGACCTGTTGAAAAATAATATTATGTAAAATACATTATTACATAATTCAAGTGCTTTTGGGGAAGTTATTAAATCCAAACCCCCTAAATACCTTCTCTGCAATAATCTCAAGGAGTTCCAGGTCAGCAACAGCAGAACCGGTTGGTGTCTTCAATTTGAGAAAGACAATAGGTGACAAGATATTGCTAGCAATTTCGAGCCCGGGTATATCTGACAACTCTGCACATCAAATGCAAATAAAAAGATAAGTGGAGGGACAAATATACTAGGGAAGTATGCCAGACATTCAAGTACATCAAAATACTGCAGAAGAATAATTACGCTAAATATTTAGTGTTTTCAGTACTTCAATTATAGCTCATTGTAAATAAACCACAGTTTTAATCTAGGTTTAGTAACATATTACTAATGCACTATGTTCAGCACGTTAATGGAAGCAAGAAATAGTAAAATTATGCAATAAAGGTGCCAAGAGAATCAGTGACCTTTATGCAGAAGGGCGATGTTTGATCTTAGATTGGCGAGAACTGATGGGTTCTCCTCCAGGTGGTTCACAGCAGACATTGCTGCACTAGCAAGGTATGGTGGCAACGAGGCAGAAAAAACATAACCAGAGCTGCTTAGACGCTGCAAGATAACAACAGTGCAGCCAGTTAAAAATACTGAAGATGCAAGAATTTCTACACCATCATCAAGATGCTATTGATCTCATGTGGTACCAACCTGATGATCAACAACTCTGACACTTCCTGTACAAAAACCACCATCGGTAGCTAACGCATTTCCCATTCCAGCAGTAATAATGTCTATTTTTTCCACCTGCACAGGTCAAAGATTACTTAGAAACCAGTAGAACCAACTGTAAAGCAAACTATGCTAGTCAATGAGGCAGATTTTCTTAATACAAATTGCAGTTGTCCACTAAGCCATTGATTATAACTGCCCAGTCCTTTATTTGTTGTTTCATTTTTATTGTTGTAAAGTATATGAAAAGAAAGAGGGAGCCCTCACAGGAACTCCATAGTGTTCAGCAAGGCCACGTCCAGACTTGCCAAGAACACCAAAAGAATGGCTCTCCTCCAATATAACACGAAACCGGTATTTCTCCTTCAACCGAACTATCTCATCCAAGGGAGCAATTTGGCCAGAATTCTGCATCCAGAACAATAGTAAGAAGGCTTCACAAATAATTCAACCAGTGTATAATATGCAGTGAACTGTTTTAGCAGATTTTATCATATAGATCGAATAAAATATGAATACGACTTAAGTTAAAGAAGTGGGCCAGATTTTTTTTTCAAACTAAAAATAAACATGTTTTACATGCATAAAATTAAGTGCACAATGTGCAGTCTCTCTTTTTGCCAAAGCAGCAGGGCATGGGACTTGACTATGCTTGTATTTGGGAAGAAAATGTGAGCACTTTCATATTTTATCACTCGCTAATGTTTTGGCATTCAGATAAATTGAATGCTGCAAAATTTTAGTCCCTCCGTCCCCTAATATAAGGGATTTTGACATTTTGCTTGCATTGTTTGACCACTCGTCTTATTCAAAAAATTTGTGCAAATATAAAAAACTAAAAGTTGTGCTTAAAGTACTTTAGGTAATAAAGTAAGTCAAAAATAAAATAAATAATAATTCCAAAAATTTTTAAATAAGACGAATGGTCAAACAGTGCAAGCAAAATGTTTAACTCCCTTATATTAGGGGACGGAGGGAGTAAGTAACAAAATTTGGTTTCTAACCAACTGAATAGTAGGCAGATCACATTGGTATTATCGTATTTTGGTTTGATACATTTTGGCAGAGGAACACAAGGCGCCTTTATGTTGTGGTCTTGAATTTATCACTTTGAAGATGCAACCGATTGGCATTATGTTTTCAAGGGCAGAGAAAAATTCTCAAATAAAATAAAAGATCAAGAGTACAACACTGTATTTCTCAAGAATAACAACTGAGAAAGCGGCAAACCTGGTAAATAGCTTCCACAACAATATAGCGCCTAATCTTTTCTGTATGTTTGTTTCCATGAGTTAGTTTTTCCAAAATGCTCGCAAGTGAAGCCATGTCATTATGCTTGAAATATACAACAGTGCTTCTTGAAAGCTGTAAACCATTTTGCACAGCCCAGTGAACACCCTCATCACTGCAGTGCCAGTGCATGTAAATATCAAGATTAATTTTGACGAAGAATATGACCATAAGGAATTAATTTTTTACTGGATGAAAATAACTACCTAATAATTTTAATATTAACATTGAAAAGAGATACAAGGAACAAAAGCAAAATAAGAAAACCACCAATTACAAATTATGAGCTTCAGAAACACATAGTTGTTATAAGATCAAGTATGCTTGTCAATAATACATAAGCATTAGTGAGGTCCATGACTCCATCATACCATATTCCCTTTACAAAAGGAATTCTTAGAAAAACGTTAGTAAAAAATGTACAAATTTCCAGAAATACACTAAAAATACTATGTGCACTTTATATCAGAATGATATGACACTTACAACTTGATTCGTTAGAAAATACTGGATAGATTACTAAAATAGTGTAAAGAGGGGGAAAAATGTTCACTTACGCTACAATGATATCTCCCTTCTTGCAAAAGGCAGGAATTACACTGAAGATGGTTGATATCCCATAGGAGTACAAGATTGAATCTTGGGTTCCCAGGAAATTTGCTATTTTACTCTCGCAGTCAAGGTGCACATCTGCAAACCACAAAATGGCTAAGTTCTTCTTCTGAGGCCATAGGATATAGATTATTGAAAATAGCCAGAGCAAATACGAACCAATAGTTCCATAAAAGCTTCGTGGTCCACATGATCCAACACCATATTTCTCCACTGAGCCAACACAGGAATCCTGTAGTTTCCTTATATCACTAAAATGTTCTAAAAGAATAACGAAGAGAAATAGCAAAAGCATAAGGTTCTTACAATTATCTTTTCATTGCCAATCAAACCAAGGTAGTTTGCTGATGCAAAGTTTACAACTTCTTTTCCATCAACAGTTGTATGAGGTCCAGCAGCACTGATCAAAAACAGAATATCAATGTTCAATCCTCTAAGTCTTGGTATAAAGAGAGTGGGGCAACATAGCTATATTTATGTGCACTCTAAATCATAACTTGATTTAATTCTAGAACTAACAAGCTCTGGCGATCAACCCCCATATTCTAAGCTCGTTAGGTCATACTGTCATATACAACAATGTCTACAATACCGACTTTCCTAATCCTTACTAAATGAAATGGCTGCAAACTGAACCCATGCAATCATTGAAAAACAAAAACTATATTGCCAACATAGAGCCTTTGGTGAAGTGCATAAAAAACTTAACCAGTGGCATGAAGAACTAATCAGAAAGGTCAACTTTATTGGGAGGGATGGGGCTTGAAACGAACCTTTCTAATGTAGGCGTGTCGATCCGTGCTCCTTCCTTGATGGGTGGGCATAGAGGCTCCGGTTGCCAGTCATCACAGAGCTCATCAACCTCCTGTTGAGCAAAAAGAAAAAGAAAAAAAAAACTGATCAACACACTTGATGAAGCATGAAGAAATGGAATGAAACGGAAAAAACACTACTCCAAAATTATTAAGCAAGAACAAGTGTAGGTCACCCTCTCAGTGAGTGGCTTCTTTGGAGGTTTGTAGCTCTTCCTGGAGAGCTGAAACAGTATGGCAGCAATGAGAAGCCCTTCCACAACCAAATGTCCTGAAAATCACAGCATTTCATCGCATATATGTTAACTGGCACACAATATTCCCACCATTCCAGAAGTTGTGGCTGCTGGAGAAATGACCATTACCATCAATATGAATCCCAAAGACAACAGCACGGGCAAGTGGGGCATTGAACACAGCAGAAACCCGTGCAAGTGCCGCAGCCGTAGCATTCGCGACTGGCAATACCATTTCCATCATTGAGAGTAGTTCTCCTCTTGGTCCCAAGATTGTAAATTCAGCACCGTTCTAAATCTGTAGAAAACAAGAGACGAAAATGCTAAAGCCCCAAAATCAACTCGATAAACTTATCCCAGAATTACAAATCTCCATGATAACCTACAAATTCTCTGCAATTGTTTCACGCAAGAATACAGTTGGATCTGCTCGAAGATACAGCCAAAAACTGTTACTACCTCTATCTCCCTAATCCCACCCTTACAGATCTCAATCAGGAGGTCGCCTCACATCTGTGGCCCAAATGCCCAACGAACCAAACTGCGAACGAATTACGCTTACTCAACACTTAAACTACATAGGCTTCCCCCTTTCCAACCAAGAACAAAGAACATCTAATCATCGACGCACCGTACTCCCAAGAACAGTAATGCACATCAACAAGAAACAGTAGACAAGCCAAGAAACGGATACCTCCGCGCCCGCCCAAATCAAGAACGTGACGAAAGCGAAGCAGGCGATGCCGGTACTAGCAAATCAAAGACTTATCAGACCTTTGGGGTCTGTGGCGCCGTTAGCGGAGGGAACGGGCAGCGTCATATACAGAGGCTGGCATGGCATGGAGAGGGAGGCGGGGGGAGGGCGGGCGGGACGAGGTTGGTTCGCGTCTGGAGGGCGGGGGCGGTCGTCCGCGGGTGGCTGTGCCGTGTTGATTGGGATCTGCAGTTGGACCGCATCCGCATCGGCGGCGCTCGTGGACTCACGGTCAGCATTGCCTGATTCTATTTTGTTCTGTATTTTTTAAAAAAAACTTAGCCTGCACGAGTTCAACATAGGGCAGCCATATTTATGTTGCAACTGGTACTCTCTACCGGGATAACAATTTCCCTATTAAGGTGAAACAATCATTACATTTGTGAAGAAGGATATGGGCTGTTAGACAGCATGCTAGATTGTTTTGCTGTTCGATCAGGCCTACAACCTCTCCGCACGTTCCTTCTTCACCTAAGGCTGACAGGAGGATCGACGTCAGCAACATTACAAGCTTCTATTTCAAGCCTTATCCATGCATGCAAAACACGCGGTGAGGCAGAGGACCTCTTAGGTGACCCCTAGGAGAGGCTCACTAGGACCTAATAATCAGGCCTACTTGATAGCAAACGATAAGGCTTTCCACACCTAAGTTTTGTGTATTCAGGTTTATTTGTAAGAGACTAGCCACTTTGGTATTCCTCTACTGGCTATAAAGGGAAAACCAACGCTGCCGTCAAAGGGGATTGAAGGGGATCGAACCCAAAAGTTAGCTAAGGAAAACTAGCTCATGTAACTCTCCGATTCGACCATAGATCCAAGAAAAAGGCACCGTTGAAGTAGGGTGTTATGCTTCCTAGCTGCTTGAGCCTGTATAATCACCTTTGTCTCGTTTACTAACGTAGCGAACTCCTCGTTTTGTAGCCGCTCCTTGGGATAAACTCAAGTGGGGGTCCATTGATTCGCTGTTGTAGGGGCCCATACTCCAACAGTTTGTAAGTGACTCATAGACCATCATTTTTGCCAAGTTTCATGCAATTTGCCTGTGTGGTTTGAGAGATCTTGGGTGAGAACCAAAGGAGATAAAATCTACTATTTCTCCACTTGCTTTTGATATACCTCTTGTTAGTTGTTATGGTTAATTTTGATTATGACAAGTGTGTAACTTGATGATATAATTGTTGTTATGATGTGTCTCTAGATAGAAAATACTTTATTTATACCTATTGTTGATTGTAGTGAAAGCTTGGAGTGGACCGTTGGTCCCATGGATTTTTACTCGTCACACCGAGGATATTTTTTCACGTAAATCATTGTGTCTTGTACTGCTATTTTGATAGTTAAAACTACTCTCAAAATTTATGGTAAGATAAGAAGTTTATTGTGTAATTGTTTGCCGGTTGATAAATTGCTATTTATACGTTGAAGACCCCAACAACAAATGTATAAATGGGGGCTAAGAGAATATAATAAACGATGCTAAAAATACCTGGTGCATTCCCTACTACTTTTTATATGTATCCTAGATGGAAGTCCCAACATCATCGACACATTAAAAAATAACAAATATATGTTACGCAAGATATATACTTACAAATTCAAGAATTAAATGCTAATTCAATGGATGACCTGAAACTACTTCTCATATGAGAAAATGGGATTTATTAATAGTTGGCTTATTATGAGGGTTTTTTTCAAAAAAAATGAGAGACATGATTACACTCTTGTTTCAGTATGTGCTTAACACAGGACGATCATGCCACCCAATGAGCCGTTCACTAAATTGAGCAAGTAATGAGCTATCCTATTACACTTCTTTTTTCTATGGTGCACGTATATCGTCTGAAGAGTTGCCATGGTAGCCAAAGCCTCACATATCTCAAAAGACCACTTGGATTTGTCTTGACCTTTGTTTGTTAGCCTCCCTGCCACCATTGCACAATCCGTATCAAGTTCAATTCTACTGGCAATGGAATCCACTCTACTGCAAGTTTTAGGCCTTCACAGCAAGCCAGGATTTCCGCCGCCTCCGCTGCTTTGCTGAATTACTGATAACAATTCCAAGTCCGCACCGCCCATCTTCCGCTGCTCTACTGAATTCCTGATAACAATCCCAAGTCCGCACCACCCATCTTCTGCCGAGAACGCACCATCAATGTTACCTATTGATTTTGAGGTTTTATCAAGAAGATAGATGAATCGGCATGAACTTGAAGTGTATAAACACTAAATTAATTTTAAGTTAATTCAAGAATTTTGAGATCCTACTATTGTTACTAAAACTTTGAATTTAAGCAATATTAGTGTAAAAAAAATTCATGGAGACAGGGACACGACAGGATATATGTAGCATCTATCATATCATTACACAAAGAACTATTGAAGCCTGGAGGATCAAGAAAAAAAAAACATGAGAACTCTGTGTTGCACATGATTAAAACTTTTCTCCATCTGAATCACTGCTTCACTGAATGACAAATTCTGTGTGAAATTACAGGGCTGCCTAAAGGATCACCTAACTTTTGATACTTTTTTTACCTCAAGGAATTATTCACGGTAATTTTTCATCTGATTGCTTAATTTCAACATACGTCATCTTCATAAAATGAGCTGCATATAAAATCATTGCTTCATTGAAATATGCTCAGTGATATGAGTTATCTGCAATGATTCATATTGAAGCAAGTTTACTACTTTGAGTTTTCCCTGGTACAATATAAAATAGAAAGCTGTTGGGTAGTTGCAAGGTAATGAATAATCACAAAAATGAAAAACAAAGCATCATAATAGTAATTGTTAAGTTAGCAATAAAGAAAGGATTTCTAGTGTTATGAATACCATGGAAGAAATTTCCCCCTATAATTCAACAACATAGATGGTTCTAAACCGCCATGGAATTTGTGTAGTCCAAATAAACATGTGATGAAATTAAAGGAGTTAGTCCTACAAAAGAGAGTAATTAGAATAAAATACTGCTTTACTGGGAAAAAAAAGAAGGATCAGATTGGGATACTGAATCTATTGGAAATTGATAATTGAATTGTGAATAAATTAGATTGACTGCTGACTAAAGAGATCTAGCTCAATTTGGGAATGAACCTACACAGGGAACAATGGAGTTATGGAGATCAAGTAGAACAATGGCTGAGAGGACGGCTCCAACAGCATGCTTGTTTGGAGGAGTAGCAACCTTTGGTACTGCTTTTCTCCATACAACATATATACATGTTTAATTAATACTAGCATATGTATCATCGAATATAGAGAAGATGAGAAAGGAAGGTGACCAACCAAATATTCCATGTGACGGTTACAGAAGATGATGATGAACAAACGGGACTTGGAAACCAGCTGGATCATTTATGTTTCTTGCAACATCCTGAGGAGGCGAGCAGGCACTAGGCTCCTTGGTGAGTAGGAGTAGCCTGTATGCAGATGGCATGGCAAACCAAGGGGAGAAGAAATGCCGGACTAGGACGTTAGTGCGGCACATGCACTCTCTATCGGACTCGTATGGAAGCGGCGCACGACGGTCATGCTTCCTAGAAGTGTGGGGAGGATTGAGGCTGTACACTGGTGGAGAAACCATCTTTCGTCGGTCGGCCGATTTCCACAATAGTCCCGGATGCAATAAAAACCGGGGCTAAAGATGATCTTTAGTCCCGGTTCAAAAGGGAAACGGTCATATTTGATCTTTAGTCCCGGTTTGTGTTACCAACCGGGACTAAATATCATCTTTAGTCCCGGTTCGAATGCTGTCAGGACCTGTCAGGCCCCCCCGGGATCTTTAGTCCCGGTTGGTAACACCAACCGGGACTAAAGATCTTAACTTTAGTCCCGGTTGGTAATACCAACCGGGACTAATGATCCCGGTGATCTTTAGCCCCGGTTGGTGCTACCAACCGGGACTAAAGTCCCACCCCTATATATATGTCTTCTTCCTCCTCCAGCTGCCCGAGCAAGCTTCAAAATTACTTCAAAAAAGAGGGGAGGTCATGCCAAAATTTCTATTGAATTTATTTTGGTGATTACATACAAATCGGAGGTGCCTAAAAGGTTTGCAACTTCATCCTCCAATGTTTTTTTTTGTCATACTACATTTGCACCTATGTTTTGCACACTTTTTTTTGTCTCCAAAATTTAGTTGTAAGTTGATGAGAGAGAAAATGTGTGTGGGGAAGAAAGAATATATAAAAATTTAGTTCATTTGCTAAACAAGGTTTTATAAAATAGTTGAGAAGGAAAACTCTAGTGAAAGTTAATCTTAAATAATAGAAAACAAACTAAAATGAAAATTAAAAGAAGTAAAACACATTAAAATTAGTTTAAAACTTTACAAATAGTTTTTAAGAATTATTTGGTGTAATATTTTATGATTTTTGTATGAATAAAGATATCTTATAATTATTGTATGACTGTCATTATTGTAAGAATAATTATTTGTGTGCGGTTTTTTTGACTCATGTAGATGGATCGGCAATGGATGTACGCTGACCGGCGGTCCAAAGAGTTTATTGACGGCGTGCACTATTTTTTGAGAGTGGCCGAAGCTAACAGGCAAAGGGGTTTTATTTGTTGTCCATGCAATAAGTGTAAGAATCAGAAGGAGTATTCTGCATCCAGGACTATTCATTTCCACTTGTTTGAGTCGGGGTTCATGCCAAGCTATAATTGTTGGACATCCCACGGAGAGCAAGGTGTTGAAATGGAAGAAGATGAAGTGGAAGACGACAATATTCCGGACTTTGCTCAGTATGTTGGATTTGAAGGAAATCAAACGGGCGAGGAGGAAATAGCTGCTGATGGTAACGACGTTGCGGATGATCTTGGTCAGATGTTGTTGGACGCCAGGGAGGACTGCGAAAGTGAAAAGGAGGCCCATAAATTGGACAAGATGTTGGAGGACCACAGAACTTCGTTGTACCCAGGTTGCGAGCAGGGGCACAAAAAGTTGGATACCACTCTGGAGTTGTTGCAATGGAAGGCAAAAAATGGGGTTAGTGACAAGGCATTTGGCGATTTATTGAAACTCGTCAAGAACATTCTTCCGGGGGGAAACAAATTGCCCGAGACAACGTACGAGGCTAAGAAGATAGTCTGCCCGTTAGGACTGGAAGTTCATAAGATTCACGCATGTCCGAACGATTGTATCCTATATCGCGGTGAGGAGTATGAGAACCTAGAAGCATGCCCTGTTTGCAAAGCACTACGATACAAGATTAGACGGGACGATCCAGGAGAAGTTGACGGGCAGCTAACAAAGAAGAGAATTCCTGCTAAGGTGATGTGGTATTTCCCTATAATACCACGGCTAAGGCGTTTGTTCAGGAACAAGGGGAATGCTAGAATGTTGCGATGGCACGCTGAAGAGCGTCAACAGGACGGGATGCTGAGACACCCTGCCGATGGTTCGCAGTGGCGAAACATCGACAGAAAATTTAAAGAATTTGGAAAGGACGCACGAAACATACGGTTTGGTTTGAGTACGGATGGCATGAATCCTTTTGGAGAGATGAGCAGCGGCCATAGCACTTGGCCCGTTACGATGTGTATCTACAACCTCCCCCCCTGGCTATGCATGAAGAGGAAGTACATAATGATGCCGATTATTATTCAAGGCCCCAAGCAACCTGGTAACGACATCGACGTGTACCTATGACCACTGGTCGAAGATCTTAAACAGTTGTGGAAGAAGGAAGGTGTCCCCGTGTGGGACGAGGACAAACAGGAGGAGTTTAACCTACGAGCGCTGCTGTTCGTAACCATCAACGATTGGCCTGCACTTAGCAACCTATCCGGACAGTCCAACAAGGGGTACAAGGCTTGCACTCACTGTATGGATGAAACAGAAAGTACGTATCTTAAGCACTGTAGGAAGGTTGTATACATGGGTCATCGTCGATTCCTTGCAGCAAACCACCCGGTACGGAAGAAAGACAAGCACTTCGAACATAAGGCCGACCACCGTACGAAGCCTAAACATCGCAGCGGGAAAACAGTGTTTGCTATGGTTAAAGATCTTAAAGTAGTGTTCGGAAAGGGGCCTGGAAGCCAGCATATAGAGAGCGAAGATGGTCACGCGGCGATGTGGAAAAAGAACTCT